AAAAAACCAACACTAATTTCCTGTTACATACACTAGCATTCTGTCAATGTTTTCTGCCCCCAAAATTAAATTTCCCTACACCCAATTGGCATCTGTCCTGCTCGTTTCACCAATCTCCTTGTCATTTATTATCTGCTACTTGTCTGTGCATTCTCCTTAGAAAAATAGTGTTATTTAATGTAAGGTAGTGGACAGAATGGCCACAGCTTTTTCAGCCTCAGGTTCTAGCATCTCTGGATGCTGGAAAACAACTTCAGTAGTCCTGAGTTTTATTTAAGATGGGTCCTTGAGAGAAATGAGAGAGCACTGGTGACTTATTGAATAAAAAATGAGTTTGGGAGTCAGAGCAGATAAAACCTTGGAGAAGTCTCAACCCTGCCACTTAGTATTTGTGCAATCAAGAGCCATTTGCTTAACAGCACCAGGTAACAGTTTCCACATCTATAAAATGAGGCTCATAAAATCTCCTGTGGGGAGGTTACGAAGCACAAGTATTGTACAGGGCCTGGCACATGGTGCCCTTTTCTTACCAATGTTGCCTTCATTCTTATAATCTTGATGCCCAAAGGCACTGTAGGAGCCATCTGGGTGTTTGTAGTTCAGTTCTCTCTGATAACCTGGGGTGGAAGGTCTCAGGTGATTCCTGAGGAATCAGTGATGCACCAGAGACAGACAGGCTCCCCACACATACAAACTGTAGCAGAGACCACCAACATCTCTGACCTCTCCAGCACGCAGAACCTCCAAGAGGACGGCTCTTCTTCCCCACTGAATGGCAAGCCTGCTTGAGGAGAGAAGGTTTACAACAATAAAGAGAAGTTCTGTCCCCTACTCACCAGAATAGAGATAGCTAATAGCCTTGGACTTGATCTTCTGAGTCAGCTGGTGGGTTTCATTCAGGTATTTCAGTATGTAGATGTTGGGAGTGAACAGGACCATGTTCTGCTCTCCACAGCCATAGGGCATCTGGAGGAGGTTCTGTATATTTTTTATGGAAGAACTTAATATATCACCTGGAAATGAGATAGGAGATATCAGGACAACCACTGTCATCAAGAATCAATGATATTTATATTTATGATGTTTATATCTTAAAAAATAGCTAATGTGCAGGAATTTTAATGTGATTGGAGGGTCAGACAAGCTGGAAACCAAGTGAATAATGAGGAAAAATAAATGTAAGCCGGAAGTTAAAGAGTTGAAGTGCAGTTAAAAACTATGTTTGTAAACCAAAAAAAAATGTGGTGGTGTGGAACCATAGCACCTTGGGATATTGTCCAGAGTCCTCGAGGGGCTCAATAACTCACCAAAAACAGAGAAATAAGCTCTGGCTGAATCTTTCACCAATTTTGGTGGGAGCTTCGGGATAATTTTTCAGATTTCCCAGCATCTTGATAAACAAATACAATACATAGACATTTACCTTTGATGTCTATATTTTTAAAATCATACAATTAGTGGTTACAGGCATACATCTCAAACTTTGACTAGCTACCTCCTTAGAAAATGCTCTTGATTTTTAATATTCCAAATTCACATTTCCTCGTACTGGGTGGCTTGCCAGGCTATATTTCTTCCTTTTTTATTATCCATCACATTGAACACCTCAGCAGCTGTTCAAAGAAGGCTCTGAGTTTCTGAGGTGTCTGATTACCTACTTCTACTGGGGCCTTCATAAAATGCTTTATAGACTTATGAAAATAATGTATTTTTGTCTCAAAGGGAAGTTTGTGTATGAATAGACACTCAACATGTCAGAATAAGTAAAATAATAAACCAAATACAGCTGCTTGCCTTCCGGGGGCTCCTCCCTCTTGCCATGATCATGACATATTTCATTAGCTGTTCAGAGACACTTCTTTCATGGGAGCCCTTGCTATGGGTGTTGTGCAGGATGGTGGTTAGGAGATTAGATTACAATGATAACGTACCAGGAAAACAAGAACTGACCAATGGTAAGATATGTCTTTTGTTATTCTACTTGTAGATATTTCAAAAATAAATCTCATTCACCTCTAGTGGCCCACTTTACACCTTCTACCTTTCAATAACTGTGAGATAATTTAAGACTTTCAATAACTGTAAAATAATTTTTTCAAATGTGCCTTGCATTAATAGGAGTTGGTCACTTTTGGCAAAATCATTTACTTTATCTCCATCTATGCTTTGTTAAGTTTCTTGTAAGAATGGATTTTGGACCATGAGTTTACTTTTAAAACTTTATTTAAAATTATTAATTATTTAAACCACTATACACTGAAAAACCAACTTGTGCCAGGCACTATTCTAGGTCCTGGGAATAAAGCTGTGAACAACAGCAGACACAATCTGTACCGGGTTTTTTCATTATGTTTTGTTTTATATTTTTGTGGGTTGGTTTTTGGTTTTTTTGCTTTGCTTTGTTTTGTTCTGTCTTGCTTGGTATTGGTACCAGGGATTGATTGAGCCTAAGGCTTTCACACTGGGCTACATGCCTAACTCCCTTTTATGAGACACAATCTTGCTAAGTTGCTAAGCTGGCCAGGCTGGGCTTGAACTTTTGATCTTCCTATCTCAGCCTCCCAGAGTGCTGAGACTACAGGTGTGAGCCACCTTATGGACTTTGTGCTTTTCTTAAGTTCACACCTAGTAGAATTCCAGTTTTATCTTTTTTTTTCAGTACCAGGGATCGAACTCAGGACCTTGCACTTGCGAGGCAGGTGCTGTGCCACTGAGCTACATCCCCAGGCCAACCAGATTTATCTTGTATCATAAATGCCTGTAGCCTCTTTTCAAATAGTCATTTAGGAGTACATATACAGTGGTCAAAAATCAATATCACAACAATGGGAGAAAAATACTATGGTAAGTATATATTTTCATGATTTGCTATAGTAATATAGGAAATTTTCCTGCCATAAAAAGGTAAAATTTACATAAGCTGTAAGACTAGAAACACATATTGCTTTACCAAATATTCATAGATTGTTCCCATTACTTAAGGTACACTTTGACTCTGACCTCTTCCTAGCTTTCCCTAAGCTACTCCCCTTCTCAGCCTTCATATGTGCTAGATGAAAAGGTTCCTGTATTCTAAAGAAAAGAGCTCTTCTGAGAGGCTAAGATGTCCCATTTGGAGTTCTGTTTGTGGCACTGATAGCTCTATTAGTATAGCTAATAATCTTGATACTCTATAAGACTCAGATACCTTGTTTGTTTCATGGACATAGGTACATAGTGTCTGGATTTCCTGCTTAGAATACAAAATATCATTTAGGTGATTTAATAATAGATAGTATTTAATAATTATTATTTAATAATAATAATGTTATTGTCTTCTTATTGCTGTTTTGAATGACTCTTACCTGATGCACACAGAAATGAATTGAATTTATATTCTTTCTTGATTCCTTCAGGCTTGGATGGGAAAAAGGAAAATTCAGAGATGAGAAGATGCTGAGTATCCAGGCACAAAAATAATAATAATGGAAGTTTTGAGAGGGTATCCATGCCCCCTTTATTTGTAACTTGAGTTAGATGATTTCTAAATTCTGTTACATTTAATATGGGCACAAGGTTTGAGAAATTTAGGATACCTCAGGTTAAAAAAAAGAAGGGTATTGAAAGGATAATTAAGAGAAAAGGTAGAAAACTGATAGGAACAGAGAAAGATGTATTCCAAAGAAAAGATACTGGTACAAGGCCAAGCAAGGTGGTACACGCCTATAATCCCAGCACTCTGGGAGGCAGAGGCAGAAGAATTACAGGTACCACTCAACCAGGGCAACTTAGTGACTTAGTAAGACCCTGTCTGAAAATAAAAAATACAAAGAGAGCTGAGATATAGCTCAGTGGGAAGGCCCTGAGTTCAATCCCTAGTACTAAAAAATTATTACAGAATATACCCAGTCCGACTATTAGCTAATAAGAAAACAGCTGAAAAGCAAGTAGGAAAAAGTAAAAAACCTTCACTCTGCTAGTATTAAGGCATGAATTTCTCATATGCTATGAAATACACTGAGCTCCTGTACTATTCTTGTAATTATTTTTAAGGATGTATGAAATGACTTTATTATGACCATGCTGTGTGTAACATACCTGAGAGATGTTTAAGCAGGCAGATGGGCAGATGGCATAGTCATTTTAGTTCAAAGGGCAGTTTCTGAAAGGTACACATTTGAGAATCAATGGTATAGATACTCTATCAGCAGCTATATGGGTGCATATTTTTGTTTTATTTTTTTACTGGTACCTATTTGCAGTGCACAATGATTATATTCATCATAGGGAGTCGGTACATGTACAGAATGTGTCATAATTCTTTGTACTTCTTCCCCCTCTCTCTCCCATCTGTTGGTCCCCTTCACATTTGCAAAAGACCTAGCTCCCTGTTTCTTATTATCCCTCTTTTATTTTGCCCTTTAAATTCTTTTTAAATCAAAGATTATAGACAGTCTGAATTCATTCTCACTATCAGACAAATCAGACTTACCCACCTCAACTAACAGGCCTTTGACAACAGTGTCTTTCCTCCCGGCTTCAGGGACCGTGGCTACCCCATTACCGCAGAGCTCTGGGGACTGTCGAGTTTCCGCACTCACAGAGAAATTCACATTCCCTGAAACAAATGGCCCGTGGACCTGAGCTGGAATGTGCAGGGACTGGATATCCTCTAACTAATCCCCTGGATCCACAAAGTATCCTGAGTTCTGTGGGTCGTTCAAGGCTTACGTAAGAAGCTGGCAAGCACAGGATCAGAAGTGGCAGGGACTGGCACTTTCTTCGTGGGGCCCAGAGTGGAGACGATAATTAAAGGGACCAAGAGAGCGGCTTCGGGGCACTTTCACTCACCCAGCAATTTGGGAGTCACCAGCCAGGACACAGTTTGCCTCCCATCCGCACACAGGCAATAAGAATCTTGGTCTTTCTCTACTGGGACAGCCGTGAAGTCAGGAGAAGCTGCCAGCTGCACACTCACCTGTCACCCACATGGGGGGAGAGCCCAACACGACTTTAGAAGGGTAACCAGTGTATGCAAGGGGGAGCCAAGTGCAAGAGCCTGGGAGGAATTTGAGTGTTAAAAGGGACTGGAAGGAGAACTTGTAGAAGGCACAGAGTTGAAAATGATACATAAGCTGACCGTGTTTTCATAACAAGCTGTACAAACTTCCTGTAGAATACCTATTATATACATAAATATATATATATATATATATGTATCTATTGGTATTATTTGTTTTATTTTGGTGTCAGTAATGGGGGACAAGGAAAGGCAACAAAAGCATGTTGTCCTCAGGAAATTTACCTACGGGCTTGGGCTTAGATTCGTAAGAATTCTCCCAGGTTTCTATGTGGTTACAGTGTGGCTGAAGTTACTTCCTTTTCTTTTCTTATCTATGTGCTCCTCCATCTATTGGGTTGAAAACATATTGCAAGCTTTATGTGCATAAGGCGCTTCTAAGCCATAAGTGGCTCCTGTCCTCAAGGAGTTTTTCATTGCTGGACACTTAAAATACCCAGAAAGAAGAATTATGTTATATACAGGTAAATGACTTTACAGAAAATCCAAACAATGGAACTGAATGATAGGCAGTGACTTACATCATTTTTTGGTATACAGCCTAGTTTATAATAAGGTTTTTTTGTAAATTTTTAAAAAGTTGAGATCTGGAGTCTGTAAGCTGCGGTTTTGCAACTAGTGTTTTACGTATTTTGGGAGAGAAAAAACGTTCATTATGTCCCTTCTAACTTAGGACTTGGTTATTACTGGAATGGGTGGTAAAACACATGCCTTCATGTTAACGTTTAGTTCAAAGATAGACTGCATACCCAATGGTGATTCCATAAGCCATAATGGAACTGAAGATTTCTTATCACTTGTTGACACTGTGGCCATTACAAAGTTGTAAGAACACATTACACATGTGTTTGTGCTGATGCTGCTGGAAATAAACCTTCTGCACTGTAGGTTTTGATACAGTATACAAGAATAACACAGTTGTGTGAATACCCAATACTTGGAAAGAACAATAAATGACTACACAGTATTACTGGATTATGAACTTATGATACATTTTTATCTTTATGTTAAACTGTATTCCTCCTTCTATTAAAAAAAAAATCTGCTGTAAAACGGGATGCTGTGTTTCTCTAGCTGTAAGCTCATATATCTTATGCTCACTGCATGTCCTGACTGCATCAAAAGGCCACATGGGTGACTAACGTGTGCCATCTAGGTTAAAGTACACTATGGTGTTGCAATGATGACAAAAATCTCCTAATAACACATTTCTCAGAACATATCTCCATCAAAAGGTGGCACATTACTGTATACGTGTAGCTGCAGAAGGAATTATTGGAGGATCTGGAAGAGGTGTTAGTGAGCTAAATGCAACTTTTCATTTTTAAAATTTAAATTGTTTTGATTCACCCAAAATAATTGCCCTTTTCCGCTTCTGGTCATGCTTCGTAGGGAATGGTTCTCATACCCGGATGCAGTCGGGAAGGTAGTTCACTACAGTTGCCTTGAGTGTGAAGGCCTCGCCACGGACCACAGAGTAAGGCATCGTGAACTCCACAAAGAAGGACTGGAAGGCTCGGAGGGAGGCAGTGGGGGAAAGGCCAAGTCTGCTGTCACTGGACAGGCAGAAGGCCCCTGCCTTCCATTCCGTGATGGTGTCCGGGACTGTGACTCCTACTTCAGCCACGCCTGATGAGCTGGGACAGAAAGCAAGCCGGTGAGCTGCTTATTGCTGAGACAGTTAACTGATAAGCCTGACCTAGAACTATGCTTCTGAGTCCTCTCCAAAGAGTTATAGAAAACAAACCGTGTAATCAGGGGTCAAGGTAGAAAAATAAAGGCCTCTCAGTAGTTCTATTTTTCCGGCTATGATGGTCATACTTCTTACACCACCTTGAACTCTGCTACCACTAGAAATCTGAATAGGGATCTGAAATTGTCATTGAACTCTTCTCTCTTAAATACTATCTGGCAATCTTATAAATTACAATTCTCCAAATGGTTTACACTATGTAGGGTTGCCTCTGATTTTCTGCTCAATTATAATTCTATTATAGTTATCACATTCACTCTCTGGGATTGACAAGAATACAAATATTTATAATTAGTGATTTGACTTAATTGGACCACAGTTTTGTAAAGTGCCCTTTCTTTCCTTTCATGGAGATAAATTAATTGGAAAAATAGCTGAAAGTAATGAAATAATGTTTTCATACCCAAAGCAGATCATGCAAATGGCAGTTACTTACTTCACCACTATCAAGTCCCAGATCCATGTTTCAGGAAAGTAGTTTCTCACACTCTTGGTGAATGGCTTTTCAGATCCTTCCACAAGAATCTCATTGTGGGATAACATAACAGGCACTATGAATTTTACAATGAAAGAAAAGAAAATATTTATTTGAAACTATTTGCATATCACATAGTATACATATGTCTTTACTTGCTGACATTAAAATATTAAGATAACTGCATGGGAAACTATGTGATTAGCTATTCATTTTTTGGGTGAATAAAATCTTTGTCAAAAGCAGAAACTGTAAAATCCTTGAGAAAGCAGATCCTGGTGTAGGTGGAGCTGGAAAGAAAAATGAAGTAAGTCTATTTCCCTGGGTAGGGAAGACAGGGGGCACTTCTAAAAAGAAAGTAGGGCTTTCATCTCAAAGGGAAGGAAAAATCATAACACCACATTTCAAGAACACCATGTGTCTGTAGTGTAAATAGTTTGAGTATCTAATGACCAGAGCCAGACAATGTCAACATTATCAGTTGAGAAGGTCTTCTAATATTTTTCTTTCTATAGACATATTGTATCAAGCCTGGTCTTTTAAGTTATTTGTACAGTTAGTAAAAGGGAAAACTATAAACTGTGAACCAAAAAGCCACACACCATGCATAAAATCCCTAACAAGTATCTTTCTTTGGTGAAGCAAAAGAACCTATAAGCAAAAATCATAATATTGGCTTGGGTTTCTACTGGCAGGCAATGAAAATCAGGACCAATAACAGAAGTTCTGCGATCTGCATTTTCTTAAAATATTTTCATACACAGATTAGGAATTAAGGTATTGCCTTCATGGATTGACTTATTTTCAGAAATAATTTGTGATGAGTAGATGCAATGAAGAAGCTCCTTCCAGAGATTATTTCCCCCTATTGTTCATTTGGAAGTTTCTGCATTTATACAGTTTCACTTCTCCAGTTCCTTCTCTATGATGGGCACCAAGGTTTTAACTTGCTCTCTCACTTTCTATTTGACTTCCATACTCAATGTTTTCTAGTGTCTCACTTCTCCACTCAGTAGCTTAAACATCTAAGCAATGCCAAGCCAATTTATTCATTAGTTAGAGGGGGTGTAGTGCCTAAGGCTGCCAACTCTTCTAGGAAATCTTTAAAATATTCCATGAAATGGAAACACAGAAAAAAGCAGGAGTAGCTATCCCAATTTCAAACAAAGTGGACTTCAATCCAAAACTGATCAGAAGAGGCAAAGAAGGGCACTACATACAGGTTAAGGGGACAATTCAACAAGAACAGATAACAATTATAAACAAAATGCATCAAATACCAGTGCACTCAAATACTACTGGACATAATCATCAACACAATTACAATTACATTGAGAGACCTCAATACCCCACAGTCACAAATAGATAACTGAATAAAAAACCAAGAAATATGAGAGTTGACCCAAATCTTTAAAAAAATGAACTTAAAAGATATCTACAGAGTATTCCACCCAAAAACCACAGAATACTCATTCTTCTCAGCAGCATATGGGACTTTCTCCAAAATAGATCACATGCTAGCCCATAAAGCATGCTGAAGTAAATGAAAAAGAATCATAACTATCCCATATATATTATCAGGTCATAAAACAAAAAAGACTAGCAGTCAATGGCAAAAGAAAATACAGAAATTAAGCAAAAAAATGAAAATCAAACAGTACCCTCTTGAATAATCAGTGGGTCACAGAAGAAATTAGACAGTTCCTAGAATCAAATGATAATGCTAGTATGACATACCAAAACCTATGGAACACAATGAAAGCAATCCTCATAGGGAAGTTTATAACTATGAACATTCATATTCAGAAAAGCAAAGAAAGTCAAAAGAAATAATCTAATGATACTCCTCATGGTCCCACATAAATAAGAAAAATCCAAATTCAAAGCTAATACAATGAAGAAAATTATAAAGATCAGAGCAGAAATTAATGCAACTGAGACTAAAAAATACAAAGAATTAATCGAAGAGTTGATTCATTGAAAGAATAAACTAAACAGACATAGCCCTGGCCAAGCTCATCAAGAAAAGAAAAGAAAGGATCCGGGTCAATACAATGATAAATTATAACAACAAGATCACAACTGATTCTGCTGAAATCCAGAAGATTATTAGTAACTATTTTGAGAACCTGTTCTCCAATAAATAGAATTCTGAATAAATTGATAGATTCATAAATACATATGAATTACCAAAACTGAACCAAGAATGTACAAAAATCCTGAATAATCCAATAACAAGCAATGATTGAAGAATTAATTACCAATTAAAAATTACCAACTAAGAAAAGCCCAGGACCCAGTGGATTCACTGCTGAATTCTACAAGAACATTAGGGAAGATCTAATGCCAATATTCCTCAAACACTTTCATGAAATTGAAAGGGAAGAACTACTCCCAAAGTTATTCCTAAAAGCTAGCATTACCCTGATTCCAAAACCAGAAAAGGACTCAACCAAAAACAAGAACTACAAGCCAATCTCTTTAATGAACAAAGACGTGAAAATCTCAACAAAATAATGGAAAACAGAATGCAACAAATCATCAAAAAGATCATACATCATGACCAAGTAGGATTCAATCCAGGGGATGCAGGGATGGTTCAACATATGCAAATCAATAAATGTAATTCATGACATGAACAAAAACAAGGACAGAAATCACATGATCATCTCAATAGATGCAGAAAAGCCTTTGAAAATATCAAACACACATTCATGTTAAAAACCCTGAAGAAAATAGGTATAAAAACAGCTTTCATCTCAACCTGATAAAAGCTATGTACAACAAACTAATGGCCAACATAATATTAAATGGAGAAAAGTTGAAAGCTTTCCCCTCGAAATCAGGAACAAAACAAAGATGTCCACTATAACCACACTTGTACAATGTAGTTCTAAAAACATTAACTAGAGCAATCAGTCAAGATAAAGAAATAAAAGGTATAAGTATAAGAAAGAAAGAAGTCAAATTATCATTATTTGCAAATCATATGATCCTCTGCATAGAAGACCCCAAAAACTCCATAAAATGACTCCTATAATTAATAAATTATAAAATTCAGTAGTATAACAGGATACAAAGTCAACACACAAAAATTAGTAGTGTCCCTGTACACTAATAATTAAGTCACTTAGAAAGAAATTAGGATATCAATACCATTTGTAATAGCATCAAGAAAAATTAAATACTTCAGAATTAACCTAACCAAGGATGTAAAGACCGCTACAGTAAAAACTATAGTACCCTGGAAAAGGAGATCAAAGAGGACATCAGAAAATGGGAAGCTACCCCCTGTTCCTAGATAGGCAGAACCAATATAGCCAAAATGGCCATACTTCCAAAACTAATATACAGATTTCACACAATCCCATTCAAAATAACCATAGCATTCTTCACAGAACTACAGAAAACAATCGTAAAATTCAAATGGAACCAGAAGAGACCCAGAAAGAACAAAAGCAATCCTGGGCAACAAGAGCAAGGCAGGAGGAATCACAATCCCAGACTTCAAGTTATACTACAAAGCCACAATGATTAAAACAGCATGATACTGGGGGGAAAAAACAGACATGTGGATCAATAGAACAGAATAGGAAATGCACAAACAATTCCTGGCACATTCAGCTACATGACCTTTGACAAAGGGGCCAAAAAAGTATGTTGAAGAAATAATAGTCCCTTGAACTTACTTTTGTTAAACAGCAATAAAATGTGTATATTGAATTGATTCTGGTAAATTGAATATCCAATTTCCTGGATTGAATATAGTTCACTCTAAATTTAAGTCCTATTACTTTTTCCTTTATTTTTTATCTTGGAACCCACCTATGTGTCTATCCTTGTGATCAATGATTTTAAGAATCATATGTCCAAAACCTGCATCATCTTCTATTAATAATGAATTTTATAAGATTATAGTTTGGAAATACTGCTTTGAAAATGAGGTGGATGTGCAATGAGTTTATAGACTAGACTTGTAATGTTGCTCAGATATCAAAGATGTTAGGGAACAATTCTTTCAGTAGTCATTATCCAGGGAATATCTTACAATCACATTACATACCATATGAGTATCTTGCATCACATTATTATATAAGAAGGAAATTTAATAATCAATTATTTTGACTGTCCCACTTTATCAATAAAATTGATTCTTGAAGAGAATTGACTTCTTTCATGCCACACATCATGAGGTTTGGATCTTAATAAATCTTTCCTTTAATTTTCACTATGTTTATGAAGATAATCAATTGAGAGATAATATTTTAGAGAATGTTGGAAAGAATGAGTAGAATCAGAGGGGAAATTTTTGACCATACACCCTCAGAGTAAATACCCTGGACCAAGACTGAAAGTCTCAAAACATTGCAAACAGAATTAGGAAATAGAGTGACTATATTCACTTTGTAGTGCAATTTGACATTTCTTTTGATATCTTTTCCTTTGCTTCAAATGATTTTATTCACCACTTTCTACCTCCCATACACTTGCAAAACTTCTCTTCAATCTATATGCTACACCTGAGAATGTTTTTTGATGCTTCACAGAGTTATTTGCTTTTCTTGTATGTTCTATATACCTGCTTTAGTAATTAGTATATATTATCTTATTGCCTTGTTTTTGCTTGTTGGATGGCAATGCAGTGTCTAACCTATCAAAAGAAATGGTCCCAGTCTTGTCCTTGACTCTTATTGTCCACATAACTTTGGGTGATTAATTTGTCAATTTGCCCATGTAATCTTGACTTGTTTTCCATTGATATGAATGATATATCTATCATATATGTCATTATATATCTATATATCTATATCTATATCATATATATGTATCTATCATTTTATTGTCATCATCTTTGCTAAATAATTCATTTTCCATTCTTTCAGAACAAGCTGATTTGTTATTTTACCTGCTATCGGGGATAATGTGTTGTCAAGACATAATCTAGGGTTTCTGATCTTTAAGTTGGTGAATGTGTTTAAGCCCATGCTCTGGAAAAACAATGATTATCCAATGAAACATAAATATTTTTAAATTATGTAAAAATATTACAATATCCAGCCATGACATAATTTTACATAACCATAAAGAATATCTCCTCGAATTGTGTTCCTCATGCTCTAGCACAGCAAAGCTGAGTACTATAATATGAAGTTCAGCATTGTAGAGCCAGAGTATGTTGAAAAGAGCACAGGATTCATGGTCAAATGTTTGGCCTGCCCTGGGCTCTGCCACGAAGAACTATGTCTTGGTTTCCTTAGCAGAAAAAAAAAGCCTAAGTTGGGCAATTTCTAAGATTTTTTTTCCATGTGGTACTGGAAATCAGACCCAAGGGGGTTTTTCCCCATTAAGTTTATTGGTACATTTTAGGTATAAGATACAGTTACATTCATCATTGGGATCTTGTACCATTACATGAGTATCTTGTTTCTTATTTTTTCCCCATTCCCCAGCCCTCCCTGCACCCCCTCCACCCTTCCCTATTTGCAAAGACTTTGTTTCCATTTTTTTCCTTTACTCATATTTTTTCTTTTCCCTTCTTTCCCCTACCCCTCCCACTTCCCCTCATTCTTTAGACCTTTTCTTCCTATTACACAATATCAATTCTACATTTTTAAAATTACAATATCAAGATCTAGGAGACATCAGATTTTACAGAATTTAAAAGGATATAGAAAGCATATTACAATAATCTTTTTTGAAATAAATTTGACAACCTCTAAGAAGTACCTTGGAAGACAAATTAATGAAACTAACTCTGGAGGAAATATAAAATTTGAATAGCACCTACTAAAGAAAGTATATTCCTAGCTTGAAAACATACCTATATGACAACAACAGGCTCATAAACATTTTAACTGATAAATTATATCAAACATTTAAAGCATAAAAAAGAAGAAACACTTCTCCCCTCATTTTAGGAAATCAACATTGTGCTAATCCTAAAACTGGATAAAGATAATAGGAGAAAAAAGTCTGAACATAGATAGAAATTTGTTTAACAAAACAAACTATTAGAAGTCAGATCTGGCAGTATGTAGAAAGTGGTTTTATTATAGGGATGGCAGTGTTGGTTCAGCATTGGAAGATCCACCCCCAAAAGTCATCATTTTAACAGAGGAAAGGAAAAAGCCATATGATCCTGTCAGTAGTGGGAGAAAAAGTATTGGACTAAATTCTACAGCTGTTCATGGTAAAAGCTATCAGAAGACTAGAAGTAGAATAGAACCTTCTCAACGGAAGACCCAAGATTTTGCTCTTGAGGGGTCAGCACTCTACCACTGAGCCACATCAGCAGCTCGACTCTGAGATTCATTACCAATATCCTATTTTGTGAATCTTAAAATTACCCACAGGGCAGAGTACTAATTAACAATATGGACTTTACCTCTATGTAACCGAAAGCATCCTTGGCAAATTTGCATAATTGTGAATATGAGATTTTATCAAAATTTCCATGTTCATCATTCTGACAGTTTTCTGGGTCATTTGCCACATGATTTAAACATGGAATGAAGTCATTGTCCATCATACTTAGCAGGTTATATATCTATAAAAGACAAGAAAACAAATGATGAAATCTCTTTCTTGCTCTTTCCTGGATGATGCCCCTAACCAGAAAAAAAATATATATATGATTGCTATAAGTCATTCCTTAAGTGTGTTTGTGATCTATTAGAAATTTTCTAGATATTTTGTTTTGAAGGGTGTTTTAGCCTAAAGGTGATTATCACGTTCAAGAAAAGACTAAAAATTTTCCAAATATCCAAGAATCACAGCAACATAAAGAGAAATTTAAAATTCTGAACCTTACATTTGAGAAAGATAATATTTATAATACTATTAAGGTAAAATATATTACATCTATATTAGATAATATTTTACAATATATCAGCCAACAAATAAACATAAAATATCAAGATTACACTTTTTAGTTGACTATTGAAATGTTTTTTTAAAACTCCATGACATCTGGATTAGCCAAAATATAAATAACTGGGAGAGGTCTAAATAAAGAATTCTCTGCTTCTTCTTTTTTTTAAATATCCACCCTCCCAAAAAAGAAAAAAAATCTCCATCTTTAATAAAATTAGGATACATTTAATTCTCCAAATACAATTCCTAAAATGGGAAAGCAGATAGAAGAATTGCAAATGATTTGGCCAAATGGAAGAGTAATGTAACTGCATGAGATACTGCTGAGGTACAAGTACGTTTGCCAAAAAGCTTCTTAAAGCTTCAGGATTTGAAAGCATGGGGTCCCTTAGAAGGAAAAAGATGGGTGAACATGGTGTGAAGGAAGCCAAAGGAAAGAGAGATGGGTTTGCTTCACTGGAGAGGGCTATCCAGCTGTGTCTCAGGAATGGTCACAGCTCAGTTCTGTCTCAGGAATGGACACAGTTCTTGGGATGGAATGGACAGGCCCAGGGGAAAACACATCTCACAGACACCTTTAGCATTGTGCATGCTCCCTTTCAAAGTTCTTGCTGGCCACTTTACAAATCAACAATACAGCCCATAGTGTGACAAGCATTACTCCCAAATCCAGACCATAAGATTAATGACCAACTTTTACTGCTTCAGTCTAAACTATGAATAAACAGCTAAGGATCATCAGTCAATTTCCAACATGAATAACAGAGACCAAAACAAGAAAACAGAGGAAAATTAGGAAATACCAGCAAATCAGAGAGCAAAAGAAAACTCCAAAAGAAAAAACCAAATCACAACATAATATCCTATAAAATTCTCCTATGCATAGAAAATACTACAACCATGAAACTACAACAAGACATAAAAATAATCAGGAAACAATAGCTTCCAAAATTAGGAATGAGAGTAAGCTAATTTAAAACAAAATCTCTAGGAATATTAAAATGTAAATGTTGAGGAAATCTTCCAGAAAATAGAAAAACAAAGAAAAATAGGGGTAAGACGTGGTATAATAAATTATATACACCAATAAAATAAAATTTTTAAAAATAAATTGTAGACAAGTGAACAATATTTGAAATCAGATACAAGCTTTGAAATTTACTCCTTGCTTTAACTTCTGTTTCACCATGAGCACAATTCACTGATAAGTTCTTCCAAACTACACTTTTATATCTGATAATGAAACTATCTCTTTGTAATGCCATGAGCATTAAAAATGATAATAATACGTTTAAGAAATTTGACAATTATTAATCTCCAAACTAATACACAGCAGCTTGGATTATCACTCCCTTTTCCGAACAGGGGTTACGCCTTGCGCTGAGCCCCTTCCGAGGTCCTTTCTGATCCCCACCCAACGCAGAGGGGAACTCACCGAGGACGCGTACAGCTCGGCCTCGGGCCTCAGGAGCAGCACGCTTTGGTCCACGGCGGCCCGCAGGGCGCAGAGCGACTGAGGCGCAGCTGTGACTTGGAGGTGGGCTTGTGAAGCCGGGAGAGTTTGTGCTGAGCTGAAGCTCAAACCCACCTGTGAGAAAGAAAAATCAGAAGCTTTGTGAACTACTTGATATTGCAGGCCTAAAGCCCACCAAGGTTTTCAGTCCTTTGCGTATTCCACACGCAGTCGTTTTGCTAAGAAAGATCTATTCGTATTGGTAAATTAGGATTTACAGAGAGTTCATCCTGAGGATCTTCGCTTCCATTCCTTTACCCAGGTTTACTTGAACAATCAGCACTTGGGATGTCATATTCTAAAGCCACAAACGAACAATGGGACTGATAGATATTCTTGTTCATTAATTTTAAGGACAATTTATATATTTGTTGTATTTTTCCAAGTGAAATGTCAGTGATTCTAATTGTGGATATTTGTCTGTCTATCTATCTATGTATCTATCTATGTATCTATCTATCTACCATCTTTAACCAAATTCCCCATTTCATTTCAAGTGAGTGGGATGGATGGCTCTAGCCCGGGTTGAGTTTAGAACACACAGCAGAGTGTGATTCAAGTAGGCCAATGGGAAGAGAGTAGCATTGTAATTGTTTGAGTTTAGGGAAAGGGGAGAAAGGAGGACATTAGGGACAGGATACAAAGTTGCAATTACACAAGATGAATAAGTCCTAGAGATCTACCTTACAGCACATATTTAACAATGCTATATTGTACACTTAAGAACTTGATATATTTTATCTTAAATATATCATACACATGCAAAAATAATAGAGAAATAGGATGGGATAAAAGTGTGTTGAACAAAGAATTGGGAAACCTGATTCTTAGTCTTGATCCTGCCATAAAATTTCTATGGCTTTGAATAAGTTACTAAGTTATTAAGACCTCAGTCCCTTATCTATAAAGTAATTTATGTCCTTCTTAAATTTCTGTTTGTGTTCTTTTCATTTTTGTCATTGGTATTTTAGAAAATAAATTACTAACCTTGCTTAAAGGACAATTCACAATCTTAAATTTTGTAGAATCTGCGATCACTTCCCCTTTGGGTAAAATGGCATAGATGAGCATTTGAGAGACGGGAGCCATGTATGGCTCCATAGGGATGGACAGGTTAAAGTGGCCTTGCACTGCAGGACAGAAGGGAAGGCAAGACAGAGTCATGACCCAGGTGGTGGGAGGAAACCCGAATGGCTGAACTACAGCCTCACACGAAGACATTCCTATGCACATGCAGGGCTTAATGGTCTGCAAGTTAATGGTCTGGTGAGGGTGTGAAAAAAAAGTGCAGGTTATCTTCCTCCAAAAAAGCCTGGCTGTGGAAAACGTGTCCACTTTATTTTTCCCTTCTGGATAATCATATAGTAATCTCTGATGTTTTTTATACCCTGGCAAGGCTGAATAGCATCAGTTAGCTCTCAGAACACTAAGGTGGTATCAAGTACTGAAACCACCTCAACTGACATTGCATTTGTAACTTAAGGAATAGGAACGACATGGAGATGATGGCCCAGCCCTGAGGGACCCAGTGATGGGACTGCGAAGTATAGGTTACTGCAGGGCAGTGTTGATGCTTAGAAATAGACATACTTTTTCTTTAAAGCATCTTGTTTGAACCAAATGTTCACAGTACTTACATTTTGTAAGGAAAAATTAAGCAACTATAGAAATCTCCTTTATCACTACTCAAATCGAAGATATTAGTAAGTCCCCAAATGGTTCTATTATTTCTCTTTATTCCTTCCTTCTTTTTTCAGTGCTGGGGATCAAACACAGGGTCTTGTACAAGCTAGGCAAGCATTGAGCTCCACCCTCAGCCCTCTGCTCATTTTTTTAATCATCCAACACTGCTGTACCTAGAATGACCAAAGGACCAAAGCAGACAACATCTAGATCTTACTGAATAAAGAAACAACATAAATTTTGCCTTTTTTGATGAAGTTTCTGATCTGACTACATGGATTACTCATTTAAGGTACATGTACGAGTATTTTATATTTTTAGATTACATCTCCAAAAATGTATATTTACTTGTGTTGGGTAATGTTCACCTTGAGAGCCAGACTTCACCACACTCAAACTGAGTTAATGATGTGAGTGAGAATACCCAGTAGGAGGCACAACTTTGAGTTCTGGCTGTTGACACTGTGTCGTGGTGACACACAGGCAGCATTGTGCCATCCCTATTTTGCTCAATTGTGGGGCATCCCTTGCTGAGTGTGTACAGGGTGCAGCCAGAGACATATTAATAGGTTCAGAGCACTCACGTTCTCCTGGTTCTATGAGGAAAGCATGGGTCCTAGTTTGAATGATGCTGCCCTTGGCCATGATCTAAATTAAAAAGCATTTTGTCAGTATACCTGCCCACTTCTGAGATCTGAGTCCCGTGTAATATACTCAGTGTTGAGGTTCAGAGGGTCAGACCACATTCTCCAGCCCAGTGAGAAGTCAAAGGGTCAAGAGAGACATGGTTAAGAAATCAAAGGATTTCAATATTTTGGGCCTCGTGGTTACACTCTATTTCTCAACTTGGAGGCAGAACTCACCAGGCAATAGAAGACCATCTTCCTCAGCTCCCCCAAGATCTGTCCATTCAGAGTGTAATGTGCATGAACTGTATGGATTTGGCCACAGTGTAAGGCTCCAGGCACAGGGTCAAGGTAGACAAAGCTCTTGGTGAAGGAGAAAAACCTGATCCACACTATAAACAAGTTCTCTGAGTTCTTCTTGAGTGCAATAGTCCTTAAAACAAAGACCCTGCTCCTTGTAGTAGACCTGGAAAAACAAAAATAAATACTGCATTGTAGACTACCTACTAGAAGGAACTCCTGTTCTAAGGTGCATAAGCTTACTCCCCCACCTGGTTGTATTGTTGGACATTTTTTGGTTTCTTAATAAAAACTGAAGAAAATTGTCCCTTACTGCTAATTAAATGAACTTATGCTCAGTCCCCTTAATTTCAGAAGTTTTAGAAAAGCATTTATATCTACATGTAAAGAAAAGTGAAGAATATCTTCTGTATAAACTATTATGTAAATAGGACAGATCCAGAGGAACTAGGAAATCTCATTGAGGAGAACAATTGTGATAAGGACCTAACTTGATCTTCAGTAAATAGATGTCTCTAAATAGTGAGGCTTCCTCAAGTTGTATAAATGCATAACCAATGCATAGGTGAACATTGCCACTACTGTGATATCATGAACTGGCCTCACAACGCCTCTGAAGCTCTATACCTTTCAGCCTTGCAGAACTTACTTGTGTGACAATTACACTTTGCTCTCATATAGTATTAGTTCCTTAATAATTCAGGTTTTATCTTCCATTTTGTTTTTGTGAGGTTTTGTTTGCTTGTTTGTTTGTTTGCGGTATTAAGGATTAAACTCAGGGTCTTGCACATCCTAAACAAATGCTCTACCTCTAAACCACATCCCCTCATCTTCCTCTTTGTGCATCACAAGACTGCCCTTCTTCTCAACCTTCCCTCTACTTTGTTCATATCACCATTGTAATGTTCACAGGTGTTACAATATTTTATGGATTTTTCTACCATCAATGATGTAGATGGGTTATGATTCTTTTTAATAACAAGGACTAACACAGTGTCCAGCAATTCAATTATGCCATGAGTGTCTCTGCCTGGGAAATAAACATAATATTTGGGGCAATTTGAGAACGCTTATATCCCTAACGGAAAAAAAACAAAAGTTATTCTTTTTGGTTTGAAAATGACTTGAGAAATATAGAATATAACCAAAATAAAAGGAGAATAATTAATCAGGAATATATTTAAAAGGACATCTTTCATGTATGGCAGTTAGCTCTCTATTCTTTCTCCTCTTTAATTATTTATCAAGAGTGTCTCATAATTCACTACAAATTAAGGCAAATTGGAATATGAATCTCTTTTTTCTTGAGGTAAGAACTATTGAGCTGCAACTCTGTTACCAAGACTTCTCCTTGTGTCCTCACTTCCAAACTTACTTTGAAAGTGAAGGAGAAAAGCTTAATGTCAGTGGTGTTGATGGAGAACTCTACCAGGCCATGCTCATCAGTGGTAGCATTGGTGGTGTAAGAGTTTCTTGCATACACTTGGAGGAAGACATGTTCATTTGCAATAGGAACTCCTTTTCTGTCCTCAAGGCGTACCTGTAATAGAACAATGCAAGAAGCTGTGAATTAGATTTGATAGGACTATAGGAGCAAAATACTTTTCTGACATTACATAAAGGCCAAATAGCTTCCCATCATTACCCGAAGTCTGCTTTTTTTTATCCAGGTGAGATCTTTTATCTCTCCCAAATGTACACCATAAAAATTCTCTAGTCCTCTATTTTTTTCCAGAACAGTGAAATAGTACATGCTAATTATACTGAATATATATATATATATAATTTTGGTATATTCCAAATTACAGAATTGTAGGACCAAAAACTGAGATAGTCTTCTCTTTGTAATTATGAGCCAGACCAGAAACTCACCAGAAATGCTTTCCAATGGGCTTTGATGAATCTGTTAATAATTAACTACTATGACATATGACATCAAATGGTCACATTTTCTTATTGTTTGCATTTCTCTGCATATATACAGAGAGAGAGAGAGAGAGAGAGAGAGAGAGAGAGAGAGACTGACTTCTTAGAGTGGTTACAGCCACAGGGCAGACATAGCTGACCAACCAAGTACAACAGGAAGGGCAGGAATGTCCAACAGTGGTACAAAAACTTCAGTGTGGAAACAAAATAGGTCTTGGCAATAACTCACTATCCTTCCCCCATATCTGTGGAATTCCAAGATGGCAGACCCTGGAAAGAAGCCATTCATTCAAAACCACAGAATGTTTTTTCTTTGGACATATCACCCTTTTTCCCCCATTGGTTCTTTTGGGTATAGGATTTACTTCAACTTCTGTTCTTCTTTTCTTTTAATTTTTTCTTTTTTCTCTTTTTTCTTTTATCTTTCCCTCTGTTTTCTCTTTTTCTTCCCTTTCTTGTCAGCTCTCATCCATTATTTTTATCTAATTTTACTAATTTCCTTTTATTCTATAATAGGGTCCTTATCTCACTTTCCTCCTCATCTCCCACTGCTTAATTTTTCAAATTTTTCTTCTTTTATTTTCCAATTCCTCACCCCCTCTATCTTTACAAGTATAATCAGTAAGTTTTACTAATATTTATATATTTAATTAACTATGCTATTACCACTGAATTCTTTTCTTTTGTTAGTAGAAGTATACTTGTTGCATTTAGAAGAGTTTTACTGAATGTCAATATCTGGTTTGTCTTTGTGTTTATGATATAATTATAGAACTCTTTCCTGTGATAAAGGGTGGTACATTATTGGTTCTTACGGTATACCAATATTTAGTTTGTCTTTGACTTTACTATTGTTACTGATTTTGCTTTTGCCAGGGTGGTATAGTACTTGCTATTAATTGGTTTTCTCCCTATGCCAATATCTGGATTGTCTTTGTGTCACTAAAAATACCATGGTCCATTCCCAGAGAACTGGGTGCTGAGCCAATTACACTGCACCCTCCCCTCCCAAATTAATAGAGGTGATTGGGTCTTTGCACAGGGGCAAAGGCCTATAGTAAGGCATTCCCAGAGTGCATCACTGTAAAGCAGACACTAACTGAAGACTTCTCCATACTAGCAAAATGTCTTCCACTATAATCAACCCACAAAGCTCAGCACACCCACAGGGAAAAAAAAAGAAACTTGAGAAAGCAACAAGATGCATCCAAAAACTCCTAACTTCCCCAAAGCTGATACATGGGGCATGGATGGGGATGAAATGAAAAGCAATAGAGCTGAGTAGTCAAAATTATTTTTGTAAAAAGGAGATAAACAAACAGATGCTCAGAGAGCTCAAAAAAATATATAACTAAACTGATAAAGGGCTGAATAAGCAAAATGATAAGTTTACAGAAGACACTAATAAAAAGTTAGATGGCCTAAACAAAGTGATACAAAACATAAATGATCACTTTAGGAAATTAGACTCCATGAGAAGGCATCAAGCAGAAATTTGGGAGATTAAAAATTCTGTTGAAAGTATCGGCAGCAGAAGCAATCAGTGTGATAACAGGGTGTCAGAACTACAAGATAAGGCTGCTGTCAGAGGCAAATTATTCAGGGATATGTTTAAAAAAACAAAAACAAAACACAGAAAATGGACTCACTAGCTGCTAGATGGATGACACAAGGACTAATCTAAGACTGAATGGAATTAGTGAAAAATCAGAAGACAGCACAAATGTCACAAAAATCCCTGTTAACAAAAATAATAACAGAAATCTTTCCAAATTTTATGGGGAGAAATTTTGACATACAGATAAGTGATTGACATAGGACCCCAAATAGCCATGGTCAGAAAAAAATTCCTTGACATATCATAGTCAAAATTCCAGAATTCTAAAAGAAGGACAAAAATCTTAGAAGCTCTTAGAGCAAAGCAATAAATCACTTATAAAGGTAAACTCAGTAGAATTACAGCAGACTTCACAGCACAAACTTTAAAGGCCAAGCAGGGCATAGAGTGAAGTGTTTTAAGCACTAAAGGAAATCAACTTCCAACCCTGCCTGATATATCCTGCAAAAATATCTTTCAAATGATGGAGAAATAAGGTATTTCCATTTACAACAAGCATCTTAAATTTTGCAAGACAGAATAGTAATGAAGATGTAAGTGATTATAAGGGTGATTATAAGGGCAGTAGTTCCTATAAAACTTCATGGTGTTTTTTATATTTCTTCCAGAGTCAGTTTCATTAATTTGTCTTCCAAGGTACTTCATAGAAGTTGTCAAATTTATTTCAAAAAAGATTTTTGTAATATGCTTTCTATATCCCTTTAAATTCTGTAAAATCTGTGGTAATGTCCTCTAAATCTTGAT